GGTTACAAATTAATCATTGTGATTATGTGTATTTGAAAAAATTCCTTGACAGATAATTTATGCAATTATTTGTCGATAATAAGATCTCATAAGAAAAATTTCTCAGTTGCAAAGATATGACCATTTTCAGTTCCCAGAGTTGATTCATCCAAACCCAGAACCTTGTGCAAGGCTATTCAAAACTGACTGGACAATCGGCCAGCAAGAGTGATGATAGTAATTATCATTCAAAGAGAGAGTGGTTCTGTTTATGCATTCTTCTAAATAATTTTCTCAAAGTCTACAAGTCTCTAGAGAGTGTACTAGTCATTACTCTGCTTCCTCAAATCAGAACTTCAAGACTTTTACTAATGGTCTTTGTAAAAATGTATTTACGCTTTAACCTGATGTGAGCAACCATCCAGGGCTCCCCATACTTGGACAGCAGATCATTAAAATCTCAAGGTGTGTAGCTTGAGAAATAGTGTAATATTGAAATAGTGTAGCACAACTCCCTAATTCTGATCTCTTTTGTTTCTGTTTTTCTTGTGGCATAAGTTGTGCAAATTTACACTGTATCTCTTTCATTTTGCAACAACTCATCAGAAATGCTTAACACCTGAATTCCTTGTTTTCTAGGAAACCAGTTCTGCCCAAAATGCAGGCAGGGTTTTTATCCAAGTTTCTTTAGTGGGTGTTTCCCAAATGAAATTGAGTGGTTATCCAGAGAATAACAGAATTAATATGTGAACACATTTACCTGGAGCTGCAGTATTAGTATCTCTAAAATATCATTATATGTACATATTCATTCAACAAATATTTGTGGACCACCTATTATGTGTCAAAGGTGCCAGGTGTGGGCTACACCTGAGCCAAACTGTCAGGAGTTGGCAATCCAGACCAGGCAGCATGGTAGAGGCCAAGTATGGACTCTGCTCACTCTCATGGTAGAGTCCAGCAGGGCTCTTGGTGACAAGAAGTCCTAAGCTCAAATCCTTGCTAAGATTTTTATTCCCTTAGCTTTAATGTAAACTAGAAGAATTAATTTCCATTTTACAGCATCCAGTGTGGCTGCTGATATACAAAGTAAGCTATCAATTAAGTATTATAGGCTCCCTGCCCTCAAGTAGTTCTTTATTTCCTTCACTATTATTCAGACATAGCCCCTGTTCTCTCACTAGTTGAGGAGACAGGTATACTATCAGGTAATTAGGATGTAGTGTGGTAAATGAAATAATAGGAGCAGATCTTGATCTAGGAGGATTAAGAGTTAAAAGTTTGATGTACAAAGTTAATTTAGCACAATATCAGATACATATTCATTGCATGGATCTTTATCTTTATAACTTTGGTTTTAGCATCTTATAATGGTTATAATGATCCAGGGCTTTACTGTGTGTGAGCATGGAATACTTCATTTAATCCTCACATCAATCCTACACAGTAAGAGCCAGTATCTTGAAGAAAATATAGTCCAGTCATTTCTGTTTTCCAGGAGGAACAAGAGAAGTGCTCTCAGTTGACATAGCCTGGACCAGCCGGGCTCCTTCCTATGCCCACTTTCCAGAAGTGGCCCAGTAAAACTCTTCTCCTCTGGGCTGTGCAGTTAATAATATTCTATAGCTTTTAAGAAAATCTCATTTAAAATCAGCTTCGCTCTCTTTTTCTGAGAGGCATGCAGAAGAATCTGCCGCATTTTTCACTTTCTCTCCCGGGTAAAAAGCCCATGGTGACTTGAGAGGGAATGTCTTGTCTTACCACTGTTTTCCACTAGAGGCCTCTGCCCCTGAGATTTCCATTTTAGAGCACACTAAAATAAAACAAAACAAAACAAAACAAAAACGGGCACATCTTGGTCTGATACAAGTACCTGATACAAATACCTTATATTAACACATATATATGGAATCTAGAAAAGTGGTACTGATGAACCTAGCAGAGAACGGACTTGTGGGCATAGTGGGGGAAGGTGAGGGTGGGACGGATTGAGAAAGTAGCATTGACATATATACACTATCCTATGTAAAAGAGATAATTAGTGGGAAGTAGCCGTATAACAGGAGAAGGCAATGGCACCCGACTCCAGTACTCTTGCCTGGATAATCCCATGGATGGAGGAGCCCGGTAGGCTGCGGTCCATGGGGTCGCAAAGAGTCGGACACGACTGAGCGACTTCACTTTCACTTTTCACTTTCATGCACTGGAGCAGGAAATGGCAACCCACTGCAGTGTTCTTGCCTGGAGAATCCCAGGGACGGGGGAACCTGGTGGGCTGCTGTTGGGGTCCTTTAATGGACCGGAACCTGGTGGTACGGAGTCGATGATAAGAAAGTAAAAGAGAGAAAGAGAGAGAGAAATAAAAAAGAGACTCGGGGACCTAAGCTCTGATGGAACAAAGGTGCTTTAATGATTTCTCTGTGAGTATATATAGGCTGTGGTACAAGAAACTTCTTTCCGGAATGATAGAGATCAGAAAACCGAACGTACAGCAACTGTTACCAAGGGAACAAGGGGTAATGTTAGTCACAAGGTCAGGAGACAATCCATATCTCAAGAAATGGGAAGGAGACTAAGCAGTTTTGTCCTAAAGAGAATGTTTACCAAAGGAGACCCAAGCTTGCCTCACACAATGACCTCAGTCCCTGGGAGCAGCGTGCTGTTCCGCTTGAAGAGGGACAGAGGACTCATGAGAGACAGCAGGTAGGAATCCTCCCGTCTAAGATTCCCCGACAGGCGGCCGTCTATGGGGTCGCGCAGAGTCGGACACGACTGAAGCGACGTAGCAGCAGCAGCAGTATGTACAGGGATCCCGGCTGGAGCTCTATGATGACCTGGAGGCGTGGGATGGGTAGAGGCGAGGGAGGCTTAACAGGGAAGGGGTATATGCAATTATGACTGATTCGTGTTGCTGCATGGCAGAAACCTAAACAACATTGTAAAGCAATTGCCTATCAATTAAAAAGTGAAGATTCTGTTTCACTGAAAGAATACTTTGATTTTATAGACCTGTTGGCCATAATATAGCTTAGGTGGAAAGATGTGAAGGGGAAAATAAGATCACATTCATATTTCAGAAGGATAATCAGAGAACTGACTGGGAATGGGGTGAGTAGCTTATGACTTCATAAATCAGAAGATTCATAGGAAAGAATCAAACACGGTGTTCCTGAGTCCCAAAGTCACGTGAAGGATTTCTGTGCACTGGCTGCACCCCAGGTTAGTTCTCCTGGGAAGTCCTAAGGAGCTCTTACTTCTAGTTCTTTCTTCTTTCCTTTCTTCCTTCCTCCCTTCATCTTTCTTTCTTCCTTTCTTTCCCCTTCCTTCCTTCTTTCCTTTCTCCCCCAATCCCTACTTTCTGCTGGGGCACTAGAATGGTAAGAACATGACTGAGTAAGCACGCCAGGGAGAGGCAGGGGCAACAGTTACAGAATGAACATGTCCATGAGTGATCTCTCAACTCACATCAAGAAGTACATAAGTTTTAGGAAAAACATCGTATTCAGTATGATTTGGAACTTCTCCATCCTTTAGGACTATGTCTCATTTCTTCTTCCATACCCTTCCCTAGGGTGACTGCCTTACACCTGGTTCATTGCTTTACTTGATGTCTTAGAAGATCTGTCTACCTCTGAAAATCTTTTCCCTCCAAATGCCCCTGTACTGGGAATAGCCTCTGATATTTTCATGCTGATATTTAGTGCTTGCTGTAATTTGATTCCACTATGCTTATTGGCTTCTATCCATCAGTACTTCCAATATATACCCTTTTTTCAAGCTAGTTGATCACTTTCAATTCTATTCAACAGCATTTATAGCTCAAAAAGCAAGGTACAAGGCACCATGTTGGCTGATGGTAGATGCAGAGATGAATGAAGCTAATATGTCTTGTGATCACCTCTTCATGATCATAAAGTCATGGGTCTTGCCTTTAAGTAATGAACAATACATAAGGAAACAAACAATTATCTATACAGTAAGGTAGAATGAAATGAGTTTTAGTGACAGAAAGACCATAGGGGTGGGGAAAGGAGTGTAAAGAGAACCGTAGTTAATTTGACCAGGGAAAGCATCATAGATAAGGTGATATTTGAGCTGGGTATTGAAGGATGTATAAATGAACAAGGGATGGGGCCATATATTCTAGCTGAGCACTATGCCACACAGAGGCAAGGGACTGTGATCATGCATGGTGTATCTGGGTAGGTACCCAAAACACATGACACAGATCCTGTTGTTTTCTTTCTCTATGCCTTCCTCACTTGGATGCCTTCTGTCTTCTTCATTCTCTGCCAAATCCCATCTACACCTTGAGGTCCAACTTCAGCTTCACTTCCTCTATGAGGTCTCTTCTGATGTGTTAGGTCATGCCACTCCCTGTAGCATGCAGTTCAAGATTTAACTGTAGTGTTTGTGCTGTGGTTAGACCAAGTCAGACATCTTGTTCATCTTATACATTGGAGATCTTGAAGCTCCTAACACAGTGATAATGATAGTCAGGGCTAGATGAGTCTATGGACCCATTAATGGGGACTAACACCGTCATTCTGCCTAAAAGCAGCTCGTTTCTGCTATTGAGACTGGGATTGTTCATGGTGGTTTAGGATTTAGCTGGTTATGCTTGTCAATACATGAGGGAAACAATTTTTCAAATGCTTACCTGAAAGTTCCACTTAGGGGAAGAGGGAGGGTCACTAACCATAGCTTGAACTCCACCACTCTCTGGGCTAACCTTAGTAACTTGGCTGGACACAGTTTCATGATGTGTATCATCATCTCCCAAGTTCCCTCTGGGGAATGACTGCTTCCTTCAATGTGTTTTGTTTTGATGTTTGGGTTTCCCTAAAATGCCAGAAATATAGCTGAGTAGTTAGAAGAAGAACTAAAGAGCCTCTTGATGAAAGTGAAAGAGGAGAGTGAAAAAGTTGGTGGAAGTTGGTGATGGACAGGGAGGCCTGGTGTGCTGTGGCCTATTGGGTCGTGAAGAGTCAGACATGACTGAGTGACTGAACTGAACTGAGTTCCTTTTGGAGAATGGTTTTATTGGAGATGCCTTCTTTTTCATGATGAGGCAGTTTGGAGTGTATGGTGGTTGGTTTTGTAGAGAAACAGAACTATAGGAAATAGCTATAAAGGAATTGACTCATGTGATTACAGTGATTGAGAAATTCTGAGATCTGTAAGCATGCTGAAGAGGTCTGAGTTGAAAGGCCTCAGAACCAGGAAAGCTGATGGTGGAAGTTCCAGTCCAAATGCAAGGCAGAAGACTAATGTCTCAACTCAAAGACAGTCAGGCAGTGAGAGAGAATAGATTCTCTCTTACTCTGCCTTTTTTTCTATTCATATTTTCAATTGATTTGGTGATGCCCACCCACATGGAGGGGAGGATTAATCTGCTTTACAAGGTCTATCAGTTCAAATGCTTATCTGATCCTTCACACTCACACCCTGAATAATGTTTAATCAAGTTGACACACAAAATGAACCATTACACAGGGATACAGAAGTAAAACTTAGACAGAAAAAAATATGAGGTTTCTGAAGTGGAGTCAGAAGAAAAATGCCCCAGAAGTCTAGTCCCTACAGAAAGAACGTGTTCCAACACTCCATTGGAAGAGTGTGTCTGCACAACTGAGACCCACATCTCTGACATCTTTCCATGCAACACAGTGATATAGGGTTGGGCTGGTCCAGCCAGGTACACCCTGGGCAAACGTTCCCAGGCAAAGGGACAGACAGCCTGAAATGCAGTCCACACTCTATACATCGAGCCATGTACTTGAGTGAGAGGCTTACTTGCCCAAGGTGCAGGGGGACTGGGTAAGGCCATGCACCAGGGCTTCTCCCATACATTGAGTGTGAACAGAGGCTCTTAAGTGGTGTGTCATGTCAGGTTACAGGTGTGTAAATGTTGATCCTCCCCATATGGGGCTGCTGGGAAGAGTCATCCCCTCCAGTCACATACAGCCTCCAGCCATGAGCAATCCTGATTGCTTATTCCATTGTATCATAAAAATTATTTTCTCCATGTGCTGCGGTGTGAAGAAGGATGGGAAGCACTGTTCCAAGGGATCTGCCTTGTTATTTGTTAGGAAGTGAGCCATCTTAGAAAGGGCATGATCCATTTGTCTATTTCAGTACAAGTTATGCCCAGCAACAGAGTGTCTCCTTCTTTGCTTACATGTTGGAATCTGGTGATCTGTAATCTTTGGGTAAGATCTGGGCAGAGCAAGTCTAGGTCTGGGTCATCTGCCAGTATGTGTGGTTGCAGCTCAGTTTCCATGGGGAGAATTCCATCTGGGAGCCTAGATCACAATTTCATAGCTCGAAGTCCCAAGAGGTTTGCTGTCCTTACTGCTGGTTTTCTCCATCTGCACAAAAGGGAGAAGGGGGAAATGCTGACTTAAAGGCACTGTCTGGGAATTCCAGTCCCACAGAGAGCCTTTAGAGAGACACCTTCGATTTCCCTGGTTCTGGGGTAATCTGGGGTAGCAGGATCTTGCCCTTTGCTGAGTTCCTCACCTCTGTTCCAGTCACTCCATTTGGAAGCTCTCTTAACTTAGAAAAAACAGCAGATGGGAATGTGGGTATCTGCATTGATTTTGATTACAGGCTTGAAGCGACATTCAGGCTCATGTGATCTGCCTTCCTTGTTCCTAGTTAAGCCTTCATTTCTTCTTTACCCCATTAACTTCACCATGGTTTATATGTAGTGGTGAGTCGCTTTCACTGGTGTCATATGCTATAGTTACTTAGAATACTGCAGACAACTCTTACACTGGCTCATGGAGTCCTAGGTTTTAAATTACATACTAACTAAATTAGTAATTGCCAACCAACCTGTCTAGAGAGTTTACTATGAGATGTCTCAATCCAGGAGTCCCTGATTAATCCCTCAAACCTACTGCGTCCCAGTGTATCTCCCACTCTCCTAATCCTGGTGTAGACATGCTGGAGCCCTGCTTCTCACTTGCTTCTCCTTCCCTTTCTTCCTCCTCCTCTTTCCTCACTCATTTTCTTCCTTTTCCTCTCTCTCCTTCCATCTTTGGTCCTTGAGGAAGTCAAAGTCCTCTGTCTTATTCTTCAGGGCACTTGGTTTATCTTGACATTCAAACTGACCTGTGCATTGAGTTCCCTTATGACCTTCTTACTTGTCCAGCTTACAGATGACTCATAGAACCAGCTTTTAATTCTTATTCATGAACTCATTTGCATTCCATTTTGACATCCCGATATTTCCTCCCACTCTTCACTTGTTATCATTATCATCCCTTTCCCCCCAGACAGCTGGGTTCAAATTTATCTTTCATGGTTAGCTTCCTGCCTATTAGCTCAGCTATTAGATAGAAACACTTCCAAAATATTTGATTCACCCAGAGACCCCAAAGCTGTCCTGACTGTGGTGGAAACAGGGATTTTCAGATAGTAAAAACACCAAACCAGGTTCCCCAAACTGAAAGTCCTGTCAAAGGTCAGGACTTACCTTCCCTCCTTGCATATTTGAAAGGAGGATGCTGGGGCACAAGGAACATGAGTGCCACTAGAGCACAACAAATGCTTGTACAGGTGCCACACTGTGAAGGTCTGCCGAGGGGACCAGTGGGAACTGGGATTCAACCCGTGTTCTACTTGCCTATCTGTGCATCTGGTGTCGCCCTGTGTCTGCCTGGGGCATGGCAGACCTGCTTTCCAGTTTATACACTATGAGCTAGCAATGGCCCTGGATGTTATTAGATACTGGAGTTTCCACACTGCAGTTCAGAGACCTAGGTGCTCCTTCATAGAAAGGCTGGGGAAAGCAATCAAGGAAGCCAGCTTGTAAATGGCCTTGGACCTGGGAAGCAGAGCTGTGTGCATGTGTGGAAGGAGACCAAGGCTCTCAGCAATTAATCCTGAGAAAAACAGAGTCCCAAGGGAAACAGTTTACTCCTGTTTGGTTAGATAAGATGCCAAAGAAAAATTGGAACACACAGGACAACAGTGATAAAAATCAGAAAGACTTTACCTTATCAGAGTATTGCATTAGGGAGTAAATTGTGTTCACTGGCTCCTCCTTGGTGGGGAGCACCTGTAAAACACGCATCTTGCCCTGAGTGAGGGAGCCCAGGTAGTGATAAAAATCAGAAAGACTTTACCTTATCAGAGTATTGCATTAGGGAGTAAATTGTGTTCACTGGCTCCTCCTTGGTGGGGAGCACCTGTAAAACATGCATCTTGCCCTGAGTGAGGGAGCCCAGGCAAATCTCTTGCTACTGTCTCTGCCCATCAGCCCTCCCTGGTCCCACTTTTGCTAAGTGGTCTCCTCTCCCAGCTTCACATTTGGTTCCATCCAGCTGTGGAGAGGATCAGGGTCAAGTTGGGGTGGGTATAGGTAGCAATTGGACAAGAACCTCAGAAGCCAAGAAGAAAGTCTGGTGGTTCAGACAGTCTTGCTTAGTCAGAATTTTAGCTTTCCATGGGCTCTACAAACCCAGCTGAACTCTTGGTCCAAGTGCAGGGCTGGATTGACCAGGCAGACCTCAATTTCCCTTTCTCTCCTTGGAGACTTCAGGAGAGCAGGCTGGTAGAAGCACAGAGGAAGGTGATACCATGAGGAAGCCTGGTTCCGCGTGGAGGTGAGGGATGGGCAGGCAGGTAAAAGGAAGGTGGGAGGGCAGGCTGTGGGACAGAATGAATCAGCCCATGGAGAATAAACTGCTGCTGCAGCCAGACCAAGAAGTCGAGTTCAAGTGGAGCTCTCTCAGTTTTGTGCCCTTGAAATCCCCTTAGCAACTTGTTTACCGGTCAGTGGCCACATGAAAACTCTCACCTCATGTCAGAGGCTCCCCTGGTATGAGTCCCCTATAGAAAGTAATTTACTCTTAGTCCTGACATCTAACCTGAAGCCAGCATGAGGTCTCAAGTCCGGGAGGCTGCCGGGGGGCAACACTTGGCCACTTTCTTGTCCCCATGGAAAGACTCAAAGGACCATTTCCCTGACATGGTATTTCTTGGTCGGATCCCACACCCCCAGCCTCTTGGCTGTGGCTGCTGCCCATGATTGCCTGTCCTGGGGGTGGTGGTGGAGACCTGTGAGTAGCACCACCTTACCTTGAATGGGGGGATCTCATCATAGATCCTGGACTCTGCTGGCTGGGTGTTTCTTGAAACTGTGATGTATGTGTATATTGTTTTCTTTGAGGAAGCATCTGAGTCATAAACAAGCATAGAACCACAGTACATGAAAATGTGGATGAATTTTTCGAGATGATTTACTCTAATGTTCTCTTTTTTCAAATGAAGAAATGAAACCCCAAGAGGTTAAATGACTCCTGTCCTCTTGAGATGGATGTTTGAATCCTTGCTTTCCTCTTTCTTAAGGATGCCGTGTGGTACAGGAGACACTTGGCTCAGGTCTCACCCAGAGCTCAGTGGGAATTCTTTTCAGTCCACATTAAGATAAAGAGATTCTCCCTGATCTCTGTGTGGGCACTGAAGTTAGCTTTTCCACCCAGGGTCTTTCTTAGTGTCTCCAGCGTTTAGCATTGACTGCCTTATAGGGCTAAAATCTTTTCAAGTGAGGGTCTTAGTTTTTCAACTAGATCGATTCTCTCTAGTTACACACTGTGTTGGTTTCTTCTGGTACATATCTTTCTTTTACCACCTCAATGTTAGACATGTAGGAGGTACTCCACACACATTTGTTACTTGACTGATTGATTCAGAGTCAAACATTTGTTAAACTCTCTACCTGCCAAGCTCTGTGTGAGGAATTTAAGAATTCCTACTTTTAAGAATTCAGGGTTCACCTAGTGACTCAGATGATAAAGAATCTGCCCGCAATGTGGGAACTGTGCTGGGCTTAGTCATGTCTGACTCTTTGCAACCCCATGAACTGTAGCCTGCCAGGCTCCTGTGTCCTTGGAATTCTCCAGGCAAGAATACCGGAGTGGGTTGCCATGCCCTTGTCCGAGGGATCTTCCCAACCCAGGGATCGAACCCAAGTCTCCCACATTGCAAGCAGATTCTTTACCATCTGAGCCACCAGGGAAGTCCAAGAATACTGGAGTGGGTAGCTTATTCCCTTCTCCAGGGGATTTTCCCAACCCCGGAATACAACTGGAATCTCCTCTATTTCAGGTGGATTCTTTACTAGCTGAGCTACAAGGGGAGACCAGGGTTCAGTCTCTGGTTTGGGAAGATCCCCTGGAGAAGGGAATGGCTACCCACTCTAGTATTCTAGCCTGAAGAATTTGGCTGCAGGCCACAGGATCGAAAAAAGTAGGACACAACTAAGCGACTAATGTTTTAAGAATTCATGGAATAATAGAGGCATTTCTCTCATTGTACTGCTTTTCTTTGCTCCTAATGCAGAACATTTGAGGGCCAAGTTGAAAACAGATAGCCAGAATTCAGGGCCTTCATATTGCAAAGCACCAACATATCTGCAGACAACAGGTCTGGGCTGAGTGCTATTATTACAGGGATCAAGTGTTTCAGAGTTTAGTTCTGTCCCAGTCCCTGCCTCAGACTTGGTGAGTGAACCAGATTCAGTGCTCTCTCTTATTTCATTTGCAGATGAAAAAATAGGCCTTATTCTCTGCAACAAGACTGTGAGGGATTGAGGACAAATGCCTCTTTGAGGAGCCCTGAAGATCACCTATGGCCTGAGGAGGCTGTGTGACTTCTCCCCATCAAGAGACTACTTGAGTTTCAGTTCACATTACAAACTCTCTTCCCCCAGAATACCTCCTTCTGTGCCAAGCCCAGGTGTATCAATTGAAAGGATAGTATCTAACACTGAGTACTCACAATGTACCAGGCACTGGGCCAAGTATTTTATGTGTAATTCATTAAATCTGTTTAGTAAGTATATGCTGCACATCCTGCTTTTATGTGTATTTTACAACTGGGAAAACCAAGACAGTGATAAAATAATTGGTAGCAGATAAATGGTCAAGCTGGGACCTTCACCCCAGACTGTCTGCAAAGTATAAGCTTAGACTTCATCACTCTGCTGTGAACTCATCTCTTGCAATTGTCATCCAGGGAAACTAGTGGTTGAGAACTTACCAGGGTTCTTACTGAACTTCTTCAAGAAGGAACCTGAGGAATCAGACCAAAAGAGAGTCAGGAACATGGAATCAAAGGTAGAGCCTCTCTACACCCAGGGTTGCTATTATGATGGGTGGGAAAGGAAGATTTTGAGTGGACACAGAGGAAGAGGAGGGTGAACCCCCCTAGGGCCCAAGATCAGGTTTTCTGAGTTTAGAATGGTTACAATTACAGGATGATCCAGAGGGACCCAAAGGGATCTAGTGACAACTGGTACTTGTCCCTCAATGACATTTCAAAAGTCACAGTTTTGGTGGACTTGGAAGTTGGAGACTTAGTCCAAATCTTATTTCACGTGTGAGAACACTGAGTCAGGGAGGTAAATACATGTGCCCCATGGAGCAGTTTGTTAATGGCAGTGCTAAACTTGAACCCAGGGGCTCTTTTTGACTTGAGGTGTCCAATTCTAATTTCTCCTACAGGAGACCTGGAGAAGGAAATGGCAACCCACTCCAGTATTCTTGCCTGGAGAGTTTCATGGACAGAGGAGCCTGGCAGGCTACAGTCCATGGGATTGCAAAGAGTCAGACACGACTAAGCGATTAACAGTTACTTACTCACTTAAACTTGGACTCAAGTTCTGGACCCATGGCATCCTGCTGATCCCAGAAACATGTTTGGAAGACCATTCAGGGTAATGTAATACAGTAATCGGGGTCATCTTTCTAGGAGATGGTAAGATGGGTCACTGAGGATTCTAGAAAGACTAATTCCCTGGAACAAAGGACATTTCCACCCCACCTTGGATAACTGACTTCAGTCCCAGGAAAAACGAAGGTACATTTCTACATTTTACCTTGTGAGAAAATCCTACCTTCTCTTCTCTTGCACAAAAGGAACAAAACCACTGAGGGCAGAATGATTATAAGCAGAGAAAGCACAGCCAGCCCACTCATCAATCCAGTGCGGCGAGTATGGGGGCTCATTGGGATGTCTGAAAACAGAAGATGCAATGAGACTTAACTCTCAGGAGATGGGCTAGAGAGGTTAGGCAAGCTTGTCCACATTCAAGAGCACTATCCATACTAGGTGCCCTCCAGGGGGCTGCCAAATCTACAAGGAAAACTGTACTTCCCACTATTAAAGTTCAAGATCAGAAACTGAATCAGGCGTCTGAGTGGGAACTGCCTCAGAATACCCTGAAATGCCTGGCATCTCCCAAAAGGCTTTGGACTCTTTTCCGGGGCTTACTGGGAGGAGAAGCACCTTGGGTCCAGCCATGGCAGAACGAAGGCACCTTCCTCTGGAGAACTGGGGCCAGATTCAGACCTTGCAGCAGGTCAGAGTGAATTTTGAGACTCCAGGGGAGATGGATAGAGATGCTTGGTTACCTGCACAGAGCTGCTGGGCAGAGATGGAGTCAGAATTGTTGCTGACGGGGTTCCATGCTGTACATGTGTAAGTCTCCTCTTGGTTGTCAGGGGTCTGGAAGATTTGAAGGACATTGCCCTCTTCCCCTCGTGGACTCCAACTGTATGTCACATTCTTTTCTTCTTTATCCACAGAGCATGTCAGTGTGACGTTACAGGTGCTGTTCACAGATGTCATGAAACTCTGCGTAATTTTTGGCTTCCCAAGACGACCTGTGAGGAGATAACACATGAGTCAAGGAAAACTGTACTTCCCACTATTAAAGTTCAAGATCAGAAACTGAATCAGGCATCTGAGTGGGAACTGCCTCAGAATACCCTGAAATGCCTGGCATCTCCCAAAAGGCTTTGGACTCTTTTCTGGGGCTTACTGGGAGGAGAAGCACCTTGGGTCCAGCCATGGCAGAACGAAGGCACCTTCTTCTGGAGAACTGGGGCCAGATTCAGACCTTGCAGCAGGTCAGAGTGAATTTTGAGACTCCAGGAGAGATGGACAGAGATGCTTGGTTACCTGCACAGAGCTGCTGGGCAGAGATGGAGTCAGAATTGTTGCTGACGGGGTTCCATGCTGTGCATGTGTAAGTCTCCTCTTGGTTGTCAGGGGTCCGGAAGATTTGAAGGACATTGCCCTCTTCCCCTCGTGGACTCCAACTGTATGTCACATTCTTTTCTTCTTTATCCACAGAGCACGTCAGTGTGACGTTACAGGTGCTGTTCACAGATGTCATGAAACTCTGCGTAATTTTTGGCTTCCCAAGACGACCTGTGAGGAGATAACACATGAGCCAGCGGTAAGCTGGAGATGACCTATATCAGCCTGAGGGAGTCAACTATTAAATTTTCAGACATTTTCATGAGGTTTGTTAAAAACTTACAGTGAAATACATTTTATTAATAACAAAGCTAATAAGTCCTCGAAACTCATCACTTTCTAATTTTTTTGGACAATTTACTTTTTTATTTGTTTTTTTGGCAGTGACATAAGGGATCTTAGTTTCCCAGCCAGGGATCAAACCCATGTCCCCTGTGGTAAAAGTGTGGAATCTTAATCATTAGACCAATAGGGAAGTACTAATTTACTCTTATCTATGCTCTAGGAGTTATTTATATCTATCATATTTATCCCTTGTAATGATGTAAAAAGTCTTCCCAACTCTGCATGACTTAAAATCAGCCATAGTGGAAGTATTTACATCAAAGGAATTGGCAAATGCTACAAACTAGGGCTTGATTTATTGCTTTCCTGATTGTCACTCCAGACTTAAGAAAGCAATGGAGGAAAGGGTTCTAAAGCAGATTAAACAAACAAACAAACAAAACTGAAGACTTTACATTGTGAATAGCACACAAAAGGTCAGAAATATTCCTCCAGAATTTGAGAACCATTATCCAGTTCAGCAAAGAAGTTGCTCATATCATTGATGAACAAATGAAGTTCCAATACATGTGTCTTTGCTGAATCACCTTTTTCTTATTAGTAAACTTAAAATATCAACCAATATTTATGTTGATTGTGTTTATCCATTTTCACGTTGGTTCATTCATCAGTTGCAACCATATGTTGGCTAGGGATATAAATGCTCAGTGAAAACCAGTAAAAGCATTCTGTGAGAACAATTGGCTATATGGAATTTACAATAAAGACTATTGTACATTATCACTTGTACAATTGTGTGCCACATCTCCTTTATGTCAATATAGCTTACAGTGTGTGTATACAGACACACACATCATCAAGAACTAGTTGAAAATTTATCAGCACCCCACTGTATAAAACAATCTTTAAACATTTTTGTTCAGCTCTGTTTTCTGGTGAATATGTATTTTCTTTTTTCATTTATTTTGTTTTAAAGTGCCCATGATGAAAGGTTCAAACTTCTTTAAAAGTTAATTTCAAAAAATATTTTTACTAAAGCAATTAAAAGGTAAATGATAAAAGTTTTAGGTGTAAAGGATTAAAAAAACCCAATTATATATAAATTGATGCAATAACTAGATCTGGAACTGGAAGAAGTACAGGAAAGCTCCTTTGCCAGGAGATAAGAAAAGGACCATATTCAGAATTTATAAGTTTAGTTCATTCTTGGCAAATCTGCTGTGATGAGGTTTGCCCCTCCACTATTGCCATGTGAGGGAGGGAATAGAGGAAGGAACTGGCACATAACTTTCTAATTAATGTGGAGTCTGTAAAAGCAATAAATTTGGCAGTGTAGAGATAGAAACCATTTGTTTGTACCTGTGAGGATTTACAAAATGGGAAGTAAGGGCTGTAAAGGCTTTGATTCCAACCTAATCAGAAACTCTGGTTTTAAGTCTCTTGTGCATGCTTGCACTCTTTGTGACCCTGTGGACTGTAGCCCAGCAGGTTTCTCTGTCCATGGGACTCTCCAGGCAAGGATACTGGAGTGGGTTGCCATGTTCTCTTCCAGGAAGAGTCTCTTAGAGGGGAACATTCCAGCTCAGAATTCATGATGACTTGGCAAAAAAGCTTCTAAATAAGTTTGAAGTAAAGACCTTGTTACTACCTTGTAACAGTGGTAGACACAGATATGCATAGTGAAAAAGGAACCAAATTGTGTGTTTCCTCAGAAACTTGATTAACAACAGTGTTTTAAGTCTCGGCTTGTTGTTCACTTGTTTTTAGAAAGAATTTTTTTTGTGTGTGTGTGTGTGAATGTTAAGGTGGTGGATAGTGGTGAAAATAGGATTCCATCTCATTTTTCTCAACAGGCAAAGAGATGTTACTGTTAGGTAGTTAGAATAGGAAAAATAAGTCCAAAATGGTGGTGGCTAAAAGACAAAGAAAGGAAAAAGCCCACAAAAATGGAACAAAAGAAAATCTGAGGACCAGACTGAGAACCTCAGGTGAAACAAAAAGCCTTCTGGGCTAGCCCAATTTACATAGGGCAGGCTCAGGGGGAGGAGACAAAACATACAAAAAGAGGAGCCAAGATTGAGCCTCTCTCCTTTTGGGTCAGCCTGTCCTCACACCTCGAGGGTGCACTATCTTTTGTTTGCCAGATAAAACTGAGCCATAACCAAGCTATAACACTTGTCCACCATTTCAAATCTTTGCTAGTGAGACAGAATCGAGGAAATTACACACTCCCCTGACGACATATCTGGTGCCATAACTTGGATGTAGTCTGGCTGAAACAACCTCAGCTCACCCCCAACGAGGCAGAGATCAAGCACAGCAGAAGCCCAGCTTGGCAAAAGCTCACGTGGTGGAAGCTGAATGCCAAGGAAACCCAGCCCAATGGAAGTAACAAGAAGCCTAGCATGCTGAAAACAGGGACAGCAAAAACAAACTCAGCAGAAAAGTTCACACGGCTCAGTCTCAGGTTCCAGAAGACCTCCAGTTAAGATAAGAGGTCCTCGCCCCAGTGGCTGGAAGGACATATGACTAACAAATCTTAATTCCTTTACAATATCTAGTTTCTTGTTTCCTTGAACCCCCTGTGAACAGGTGAGCAGTAGTGGGTGCAGTTGAGGGACTCTGGCATGGGCTACTTCCCAGGGTGTCCTGAAGGCTCAACTATCTGCTGTGCCTTAGTAGCTGTTGCCCAAATGGGTGAGGATTATTCTGTCCTTAATCTTCTTTGTGCCAAGGATCAGGCCAATGAAAACTATGGGTCCAAGTCAGGCATTTAGCAGTTTTTCTGACAGGCAATGAAGGGGGTTCCTCGGCACACTTTTCCCACTGCTTTTTCTCCCATTCTTCTGCTTCTGTCTCCATCTGTGACACTGTTTACAAAATATTGGGCAGACCATCATCTTTCCATCTCAAAAAGTTGTTTGAAACTGTTTACCTAAGATTGGGACTCAAACCCACATGGCAGGACCTAATGAAGCTCAGGTTCCTGAAAAAAATCAGTGAGAGACACAGTGATAGGTAAGAGGTAGATTTGTTTGGATTCAGAGAGAAGCACAGGCCACAGAATGTGTGACATCACAGAGGGTAAATGTGTCGGCCATGAAATGTGTGGTTAGTTTTTGTGAGCTGGGTGATGTCATATGCTAATGGGCGGGAGGATCATTCCAACAATTGGGGAATCACCCACTCCTTGGTCTTTTGATAGTGCCTTGGAACTGTCATGGCACCTCTGGGTGTGTCGTTTAGCTTGCAGATTGAGGATCAAGGTCTAGTTGAATTTGATTTGTCTGCCATCTTGGACCCATTTGATGTTATGCCTATGCCCTTGGGCTACGTCATTTTTCAAAGTTGTGCCCTGGCCCCTTCCCTCCTGTTTCATACTCTTTTCTTGAGCCCCTTACAGGCCCACAATGTTGCCTCTACAATCTTCTGGAGGGACAACCAGAAAATAGCTGGCCCTTGGGAGGGAAGTACTATATAATATCTAATTCGTCTAGATATTCAGACCTTCATCTTCCATGTTTCCTACAACATGTGTATCAACAGTGCCTCTCAGTGAACCTGCTAGGGTGGATGACAGGTCCACAATGTCTGCTATGGCATCCCTTCAAGAGCAACTGGGCTTCCAGGGACAATGTTTGCCACTTTGGGAATGAACCCCGCAAGCCGTTTGGGCCCAAACCCTTACCACCCTTCTCCTAAAGTTACAAACATAACCCTGGATCAAACCTCCACTCCTTCTGGTCTGTTGCCTCTTATCAATTTGTTCTTAAGTCACTTACTAACTCCTGCAACCAGGACCCTGCCCCCTGTAGGCAACATTTCTCCACCAAGCTTATTATTGAAATACTCTTAATGCCCCTAACAGGACCAGATAACCCTCTCCTTTGCCATTACTTCTGTTATTACCTAAAGTGGGCCTATGACAATGAAATGTTTACCATTGGAGACACCCTAAACTACTCTTATGGAAGGCTAGGGGTAGAAATCAGTGACTTACATTCCCTTAGAGCAATGAGAGGATAAGGTTTAAGGCTGTTTCAACAGGTTCCCAGTCTCAGGGCACAGGCTTGGGATGCTTTACATCATGTTATCTATTCCCATCCATGGTGGAAAAAGCAGCAACGAGTTAACATTACAGCCCTTTAATCCTACCCAGCACTAGTCATGCTGGAGACCTTGAGGATGCCCAACTCCAACCTGGGGTCCCAGGAGGTTGACCTGCTTTGACCTGCCCAGGGATCTGGTCTTCGGGAGGTTGTCATGCCTCAACCTGCCTGGGGATTTGATCTCTAGGAGATTGTCAAGCCTCAAACTCCCTAGGGTTTGA